GCGGACTAGTACGTTTTGTCCAAGTTTTTGGCCCGTTTTGGCAACATCCGTACCATGCTGCGCAATTATCGTTGGCTATGTTACTTGGATTTCGTGTGCTGCGAAATCGGAGAATTGAGCGGAAATCACGGAGGAATACGTTGCACTTAGGCCTCGATCCTGACAGTATGCTTCACCGAACTTTGTTCCCGTAAACTTTACTTGTTCTTTAAGGCGATCTTCTACTTTTCTATAAACACTTTCTGCAAGTAGTGATTTTAAAAATTCATCCATTGTCACAAAGCGAGAATAATCGTTGCCAACTTCCACACCACGTGGATGTTTCTTTTTAATGCAGTCATCCCAATAAGCTCCGCGAGACTGACATTTGGATCATTCATCATTCGAGTGGCTGCCTCTGCCAGCACAGGTTCTGTAGGCATCGATGTAGTAATACATTCACAATCTTCTGAGATATTAAGACAAATGTATAAATAATTTGCTATTAAATGAGATGTAAATCTAGATTGTGGCACTATGTCAATACATAATACATAGATGGGGTCCAAAAATAGCCAAGGCTTCCATAATACTAATTTTGGTTTGAGCTTCTGTTTTCCAATGAATGAAAGACTTCCCACCAATAAGCTTATCCATGGCCAATTCAATAATACGCTCTGGATTAAATCCTTCAGCATCACTGGAAGGAGACAATAGTGCACCCCATAAAGGTCTTCCATATTAAAAGAAATGTCATGGATCTTCAGACTCTTGTAGTGTCAGTGCTTTTTTAAAAGCAGTATTCATGGTATTCATATCCACAGTGTCCAACAAATAAAATGGCTCAAATAATTTAGACCCCTTTGTGGCATCTCTTATGGATGGATCAAGGTAGGAAACAGGTGAGAAGTTTGAAATTTTTGAATGTGTGTCTGTAAAGATAGCAAAGATTCCTAATTTTTTTGGTAAAAGTTTTAAAGCACATTGAACATAGTAAAACAGAGTTTTCCTTTCAATGTTCTTATCAACCAGGGAACAAGCTTCATCAAAGGCAAACAAACAATTAACTGAACTTTCCCACATCAATTTTCCGCCATCCAAGTAGTTAGTTATCCATTCAGTCATCTTGCTGTCTGTAGGATTCTTCATAAGCCCATGCATAATATCAGACATTCTGTATTCAACATTCTTCCAGAAACCCATCTGTAATTTTTTGTTGGTATGTTCATCAAACCACTCTTTGCAACTTCCATTGAATTCCTCTAACCTTTGACAACATGCACATATGTATGCAAGATAGGTAACTATGGCATCACGTTCATTTTCAAACTCATGTAATAGTATATTGGAAATATGTGATCTGGATGGATAGCTGCTTGATTTGGACTCATGCAAACAGCAATATACAGTCATTCTACTTTCTGCAAAATTCTTCAATAATTTGGATTTTCCTGTGCCACTGGCTTGAATTAAGGTTGTATATGGTGCATAATAGTCTTTCATATTCATATGAACACTTGTCAATAAAGACCATGAACCTTTCCGACAGGTCACTTGGATCTTGAAAAGGTCTATCAAAAGCCACCCGGACGATTTCCTCTTCTTCGCTTTCAGTACTATCTACCGACGGCTCTAACACACCCTCTTTACCTAACACGGTAGGTTTTGACAACAGAAAAAAAGAGATGAAAAAGGATGCAAGAAGAGAAGTATTAGTTGTAAACGGCATATCAAGTTGTTCAAATGGACGGACGGATGGACAAAAATAGACATAAATTTCCACGATGGTTGAATATATGTAGGAAGAGATATAATGAATACACAAAATATCAGAATGAGTGGTCAAACAAATACCCAAGAACACATTTGACTACCCTTTGTTTACCATGGCTATTGCACGCCGACACATGTTGTAATGCATTCCAACTATTAGGCCCGTTGCTCCTCTATTAACCCATAATGTCTATTGTCTCCTTTCAAACGAGTTTACGTATAACCTAACCTTTGCTACGACTCTGCTCTATGTCCCAACCCCAACGCATCGTCGTAATGCATTTCAACTATCTTCCCAACAAACGTGTATTCATTGCTTGCTTACCTTGTTGCGTCTTGACGTACTCTTCATAGATTTCGTCTTCAGTAGCTTTAGGGTATTTCTCTTTATGAGAATAAAGAAAAGAACGTGTAGCGCGTTTATATCTTGCTGCGCTCCATGGGCATATCACGTTGTGGAACAATTGTATGCATCAAGTCGCCTTCTTCTGCAGTCATCATTTGTTCTTCTTGTTGGATATGTTCAGTAATAGAATCAGTTTCATGATGACAAGAGCCATTCTACATTCACTGAATAGTTTCAAGGAATAAGATATCAAACGTATACGTTCAGAGTAAATGAGATACTTGTTTATTAGCAGGAATATTATATGAAATAAAGGATATCTTTCGAACTAATTGATCTATTTTTAGCAGCGAGGTAACTAACAATAATATCTTTACTATGAGAGGCACACGTTAATAAATCACACATAAATGTTCCGTGTTGTAATCTGTTTCCATATCCAATTTTCAATCATAGACCAATGTTGATAGTGAAAGCTTCATGCGCAGATTGGTTATTCGTTCTTTCTGCCGAGTTTAAAAGTCATTCATCTTATCCAAGAAATGCATACTTTGCAAGTGCTTCGTCAACTGAAAGAATGAATTCTATATATAAATTTGGAATGCTTCAGTAAAGACAACTATGGAAATTTATTTAAACCCCGCACGTGGCGTTGAACAATTTTTCTCCGTGGCTAGTACTTACAGTACTCTGGACTGCGCTTTCCTTCTATTCAATACCCCTCTCTTCCTAACCAGTTTATTATACGATAAAAAATGCCTCCCAAAAAGAATCAGTCGGAGAAATCCAAACAAAAAGAGAAGCAGAAAATAGTCGAAGACAAGACCTTTGGCCTAAAAAACAAGAAAAAATCATCCAAGGTCCAGCAACAAATCAAACAGATTCAGAATCAAGTTATGCAAGCTGGGAATAAAAAAGCTCAAGTAAGCATCGTACGGCTAGAAGAGAGTAATTAATAATTAGTGGGTAGTGATCACGAATCTCGTCCACTGACTTGAAAATTATCCCATATGCCTTCACTCACCCCATAACAGAAAGAAGCTGAGGCCAAGAAAGACGCCATTGCTCAAAAGAAAGCAGCCGAACAAAAAAAGAAAGAAGAACTTGCTGAACTCGTCAGACCAGTGCAAACTCAAAAAGTTCCATTTGGCGTCGATCCAAAGACGGTATTATGTCAGTTCTTTAAAGCTGGACAATGTCAAAAAGGAGACAAGTGTAAATTCTCTCATGATTTGGCAGTTGAGCGCAAGAGTGCTAAGATTGATTTGTATACTGATAGTAGGACGATTGGAGATAAGAAAACAGGTATGATGTGTAAATGGAAGGTGAAGGGAAAAGGGCGAAAAAGAGAGAGAGAGAGAGAGTTTTATTAAATATTGACTTTGCTATGGGCAATTCAAAACAGATACAATGGATAAATGGGATCAGAAAAAGCTGGAGGAGGTTGTAATATCAAAACATGGGAATCCCAAAGTTACCACCGACATTGTGTGCAAGTATTTCTTGGAAGCGATAGAAAATCAGAAATATGGTTGGTTCTGGGAGTGTCCTAATGGAGGTATGGTGATCTGGTTAATTTCTTTTTTGAAATGAATGATCTGGTTTATAAACTTTTTAATTACTCAACTGTTACGTTTGTCGATTATTTTTATTAAAGGCAAGAACTGTAAGTACAGGCATGCACTTCCGCCTGGATACGTTCTTATTACCAAGGCTCAAAGGAAAGAAGAGGAAAATGTTGAAACAATCACTCTTGAAGAATTTCTCGAGACTGAAGTAAGCGTCATAAGCATAATGCTTGATATACATAATAATTTGTTGATCGTCTTTAGATTCTCTCATAATTGCAGCAATCTTGTTAATCTATTTAATCAGTATGTTAAATGTATTTGTTTACATTCTATCCGATACAGCGTCACAAACTTGGGTCAGATCTGACTCCCGTAACTCTGGAGACATTTACAGAATGGAAGAAAAGCCGCAAATCAAAACAAGAGGCCGAGGAAGAACTCAAGCAGCAGGCCAAAGCTGCCGCCTATAAAGCAGGCAAAGCACAGGGCATGTCGGGACGCGATCTTTTTACCTTTAATCCTGACCTTGTCAACCAGGCAGACGATTACGGTGACGACGACGATGTATTTGACATTGCTATGTATAAGCGCGAACAAGAAGGGCTTGATGATGAGAATAACGAGAGTAGGGAGGAGGAGGAGACTTATGGGAAATCGAGAGATGTTGATGTGGAAGAAGGTGGAACCCAGGTTTATGATAATGGGGAAGGGTCTAGTAAGCAATTGGACAATGGCACTATTGTTACTGAGGAAGGAGTAACGGTGACGGCCGATTTGTTTGCTGATGAAGATTTAGATGATTTGGATGACGATGATGATGAAGATTAATAAGAGGTGCAAAAACTTAAAAGACTGATCGATGAATTCACTATAGAGGAATGAGGTTGTGTACAATGACCTTTTATTTTCCGTTATTTATAGTAACGCGAAAATGCGTATCTTTCCGCTGTATTCTAAAATTTAGTGTGGTTCCAATAGGATGGAGTTACTTGACTGATTTGTAGATAAGAGAAATGGACAGTCGAGTCATCACAACAGATAATCAAGCTATAATGGCTGGAATTAATGGATGAAGCAAAAGAGAGAGTATTGTAAAACGTTATCTGGGTGTTCTGTTCTAGCCGCTTGTTTACAAAAAATTCATCTGTAATACTATATTTTATTCGACAATCATAATCATTTAACCAACTTTGAAGAAAACTAAACCCGGAAGTCGTTTGCCAGTATATGCACATACTCTAACCATAGTCGAACTTGAAAAGCTTTAGCCAAGGTTCATGACTAATAAAACATAACGAGAGTGTGCATTTATAGAAAACCAATCATGTTTGTTTCATGTGAATATATTTACTGTATGTAAATTTTGGTGACGATGTGTTACGCTAATTATTCTCCTTTTTGGAAAACAATCATGACAATACAACTTTTACGCTGCAAATTATATCGACAACGTTCTTGTGTCATCTAACATAATTATAATCCACAGATGGTTATCAGATTTATCGATTGTTAATCAAAAAACCAGTGCGTACCTATACACATATAGCCAGACACAGCTTGGCCCACACCACAAACGCTCTTCTCAAAACGACAAGAAGCCACCGGTCTAGTTCGATGTCCCTCGACGATCAATTAAAGGGTGGGGGAGAGCGGGAAACAGTGAAATAATAAATATAGTCGAATGGATAGCTAAATAATGGATAGCTAAATAATGGGTAACAATGAAGATCATTGTCTTACTAGGTGGCTGCCGGTGGGGCTGATGACGTCATCTTGTTCTTGAGATAGTGTGTCATGGGAGATGCCCGGAACACTCTCAGACTTCTTTATTTTTATTTTTTTTACAAAGCATATAGGTTAAGAGAAGAAGTACCGCATTGCAAAAAAAAAAAAAAAAAAAAGCGAAGTTTTGGATATATAATATTAATTTTATTTTGTTAAAATTTTTCTATTGGAACAAAAGTGCTCTCGTCAAACTCATTACATTTGCGGAACAATGGTGTCATATTTGCAAAGCAATTGCACATTCTAGATGCTGCCAACGACATAAACGTATTTTGCATGACAATTTTAAGACATTTAAAAAGATTATAGTTACCAGAAAGGCAATAAATAATCCTAAACATACCAGCAAAATCGCCAAGTCATTCTTAATAACAATGTGCCAAACTTAATAAACTGACCATCCAACAGTCCGGATTTAAATTCATTAGAAATCTCTGGAATATAGTCAAGATAAAAAGATTAAATTTAGTAAGCTGCACTAAGAGCCAAGGACGACTTTAAACACGGTATACTTGCAACAATTAATTATATTCCTAGCACGGGACACGAACGATGTAGACTATGATGTTATAAAAACAAGCAATCCTTCGCTCGTGGATGAGAATGCGTTGTTTATGTTCTAAATTTTGAACTGTGAGAGAAAACGCCCAAACACCGATCTGAACGAGTACATCAGCAGCTTTCTGATTTATAGGGCCAAAGTATAATTTAATGACTAGCGGTATTAGTATTAGTAATTTATTTTATTCAGTATCCTATAGACCAACATAATCGAATCGATATTACAAGTCACCCGCGGTAGCGTAAATTTAACATGTTTAGTTTCGACAAGTCGTTTTCTACTAATAAAGAACTTTTTATAAAAAAGTTGTGTTTAGGCCTTATTCACTATCAATTTTAAGCCCGGTAAACAAAGTCGATTTATTTGATTATCATGTTAATACAATATTACATTATTATGATACATTGCGGTTGTATTGATATGTGTAATTAATAACAATTGTATAATATTCAAAACTTTCTTTTGCTCATTATGATTACAACAATATTGATAATAATATCAATATTAATTGTTACATTAGATGGATAAACAATTGAATAACTATTGCTTCCAACCAGGCATATGCCAAGCAGCAAACTCACCTTCCATCTCTACCAGCTTCATGGACAGATCCTTCACAAGCAGCTAAGCAATCACCGAATCAATTCCACCAAGTATCCCATTGGATTCGTTCACGGCAAACCGTCAGTGCAGAGAAAAAGGGGAGAGAAAGAAAAAGGAAATGGAGTTAGTTTATACCGTAGGCAAATGCGATACTTACCTTATACTTACCCAAAACCTTCTACCCGTCATCTAAAAGCTGTGTAAAAAAAAGAAGAAAGGAGATGTCGTGATAGTGTTCCGGGCATCCCCCATGACCCACTTATCAGAGGACCCGTGCCAGATCCACCCTGGTGAGTAGAGGGGGCCCGCTGCCCGATCCAGATCCGCTCCCGTCCACCAGTTGAGACAAAAGAAAGCAGCCACCTAGTTAACCAGTTAAAAAGCAATAATCTGTTATTAAACGATTATTTATCCACCCATTCACCTATCACTAAAGTACGTCTATTGTCCGTCCTCTCAAAGCCAACTCTTTTCTTTATTTCGTCCGCTCCGCTTTGTCAACATGCAAGTTAGATCACTTGGCGTTGTCAATATCTTAACGCGCTGATAATAATAAAAACGATGCAAAAGTATTCCGAGTATAGAGCGAGATTATGGTGTCGGGAAACCTTTTCGAAATCGAGACGGTGAC